TGTTTGGTATAGGGAAATACATGGAAAATTCTGAAGCCATCACTAGCCGCACGAAGCGTTTTGGATGGTTACTGGAGGTACGCTTAGCGAGAAAAGAGCAGTTCGTTTTGTGAAAATTCCCAAGAATCCTACCTGACGCATACTAGCTTTCTCTGTTTGGGCAGCTCGACGTTGGCAGCCTTGTAGCCGATTCAAGACTCCTATATATTCATTCTGAAGACGTTCCCGATGAATTCGTAAAGTGCGCTGAAACACAAGAGTGAGAGTATCTAAGTAAAACCAGATGGAAGTCTTCCTCGTAATCACTCCGAAAGAAAAAAAAATAAAACCACCTTTTGTAGGCAAGTCCTGTAGGATTCCATATTCTATGCTTTATCGTACTTTTTTCGATGAGTGGATGAAAATAGGTTTCCATAGAAGTTCTGCGCACAGTTAGTGATTGGGCACTCACCCGAGACTTGCGTGATAAATGCCGGATTTTAAATGTAGATTTGAGCCATTCTTGACACGTTAGTTCCGCTGATAGATGAACGGCTCTTCATTTGTTCATATTTCAGGCTTTGCAGCAGCTTGAACAGGATATCGGAGACGTCAATCAAATTTTCGCTGATCTAGCGCGTATAGTTCATGATCAAGGAGATATGGTTGATAGTATTGAAGCGAATGTAGAGCACGCTCAAATTCATGTGGAGCAGGTTAGTACAGTACCGCATGTCTTCTTCTGTGTGTGACAGTAGAGTATAGATGGTGAGGAGACAAATGACATCGCTTACTATGCGCGCAGTCCCAAATCAAATCTCGAAATGGCGACCTGCCCAGTCAAATCCAACATACCCTCGCCTTCAAATGACCAGAAATTGTGCAATTGCAGAAATTGACGTGGCATTGGCACACGTGGCTAAATTCTCGATGAAAAGGTGACATCACGTGTGCTCAAAGATGTTCTTGAATCGATGCCACGTTAATGCCACGTCAATTTCTGCAATTGCACAATTTCTGGTCATTTGAAGGCGAGGGTACTACATACATGGTTAATTAAATGTTACCTTTTGGCCTGGAAGGAAGAAGTTCAGGCTCTGTGATACATTTATAAAAAAATACTGGCTTATATAGCTGCTGCTTTGTGAAGATCATTGTATTAGGTTGTCGGAAAAGTTCTTGCGCATTTTCTTGTTCACCTTGCAAAATCTTTTGGGATCGTTTTGAAACATTCACTGTTAAACGCATGTGAGCGGTGGTTAATGCTCTCTCCACAGCATTTCTGTCGTAGCATTTCGCAGCGTTTGAAGCTTAAAAATCGTCTTTCACTGAAGGTATGTTCGACTGCTCCTGCCTTTATAAGCCCACAAAATGCGTCGATTGAAGCGAAGCAGTAGGAGTTCTACGTGTTGTGATGGACCTCCAGACTATCTTTCACAATATGCCAATTATTTGGTTGCCGAGTTCCAGATACTTGAGAAAAAACCACAAATCTGGTCAGCCTGCCATCCTCATTGACGAGTGTATTCTGAATTCGATTGGAGAGAGTGCTTAGTGTGGTAGTGCAATGCACGGTAATTGGCGGAGCTCTTTCAGTGCTACCAGACCACAATGGCCGTTCCTCAATATCGCCTCTAAAAGAAGTGAAATTATGGCGAAAGGATATTTTGTGATCTGACTGACCACAGGCTATTAAGACCATAAAATTTTGCAAGGACATTTTGATTTGCCGCCCGTCTATCGCTTGATCCGCCAACTTTGTTGGTGGTGTCAAGAAGTGGGATCCTCAGATAAACCGCACGCGAAAGCACGACTGGCTCGGATGCGTAGAACAAAGGATTGCTACGCCGATTAGAGAACAGTAACCTGGGAGGCAACATTGAAAGCTCATGAGGCTGCAAATGTTTCGCTCACGGAGAGCTGCTGCCAACGAAGTCCACTGCTATTGGTGAACAATAATGTTAGCAAGTGGATTGGTTTCCCGGCATGGTGCCCGGAAAATCGGAGAAACTTTACTTTATGTCGGCAACGCTCGCCCACGAATTACGAAGAAGGTTCAGGAAAGGTCTCCAAGCTCGTTATAGAATGATCTGACCCACTTAGTGTGTACAGCAAACCTGGTAGAGACAGGGCTACCATACGCTCTGTTGCCGTCGAAGGTACTGAAATAGGGGCAGTTCGATGATCCGGACCTACTCGGAGTCAACCTCTTTGAGCTTTTCGCCCCAAAGACTCGGGATTTCTGAACGGCCGGCAACCTGAAGTTGCCTGCTGAAGAGCAATGTTTCGACGATTATGGTGGTGTATGTATTCAGCAATTGTTGGCTGCACTAAAGAAGAAAAACAATTTTGAAAAAAAAGTTGCCAAATGCGCAAAGACTTTTCCGACAACCTAATATTATATTACCGAATCTCATTCAAGGACCTCAAGTGCTTTGTATGGAAGTGCAACACGTTGCCTATCCCAAAAAACAATTGGTCAGCACGGGTTACTTTTTTTGTATGTCAGTAGCTTTGTCTTTTTTTTGTAAGACTCATAGCACTATAACACTCACACTCTCAAACTAGACATCTGAAGCATGTCTGCGTGATCCCTACTTCCGAAGACGCTGAACACCCTTCTCTTTATATACCCACCTATTTCCTTCAGCAAAAGAGAGTCGACTATCACTTCTATAAGAAGAGCATCAACGTCGAACATTTGGCATGTTTTCTGATGAATATTCAGCTGGAAAAATTCGAAAACGCGCAACATGCGGTTGATATTCCGGAACTTTCGCGCAGTTTGCACCATGCGATCGTTGAGTGCATGCCTCCTTTGAAGCCGTTACGAAATGGATAAACATTGAACTCCACGCGAGAAGTGACAAGATCCAGCGCTGGAGCAACATTTTCTATGCCGGCTATCATATAGTAAAGCTCTACTTCAGAAGGAAAAGCATACGTGCCGATTAGGTGACTAGACGAGTGGGCGAGTAGCTTGTTAGGCTATTAGACAATCGCTCAGTGGCAGTCGATACGTATGAAAGTGACTGCTTGATGACTTAATATCCTAATCGAGACCTTTTCTTAATCGCATGATAGCCTAAAAGCCTAATCACATGTGACCGTGAACTATGAGCATTGCCTATCTCTAACTCAGGCGGTGAGAAAAATTACGTTCCCGAAATCCAAATTCAGCGCTGCCATATGTTGTATAATATTCGAAATTAGCTGTCATTGGACCTTTAATATTCACAATCCTTTGATATCTTGCGTCCCGGCGTACTCAGAATAAAAAATAGATATGTTTCTACAAAATGATATGCTTCCCATTTTTATGACTTCCGAGGGCTACAAAAAAGTCTATGGCATGGCATGTGTTGCTGTTTTCTCATGAGTACTTCGAAACTATCATATGTTGGATTTTGAGAGAATATGACAGTACTTCAACGGGATCTTCAACTGCAATAACGTGGTGCATGACTCGCTGTAGGAAGAAAGGGACCGTTCCAAGGGCAGTAAACGGCCTACCGGATGGCCTATAGTAGCCGAAGAGTAGGGCAAATACGACTAATCCAGGACATTTTTTCTGGTGATTGCATAATTAAGCATGATCAAGAAACGTAGCGAAATCCAACGTAAAATATGCGGTGGATTTATCGCCAGACACGAATCATTTCCTTCCTTATGCTTGGGATCGCCAACATTGTTTCATTACTCGTTTGGCCTTCGATTGATGATCGCCCATGAATCTATTTGTTCTTAGCATCTTCATGCTTCCATAGTAAAGCTCTCAACTGTAAAAGGATAAATCTCATGGTTAGACCGAAATAATTCTGGCCTCCTCCGCACAGGTGCGCCGTTGTGGCACATACTGAGCCCAAGGAGGCTGACATTACAACCACTTGGACCGGGGTTTCACTCATAACCTATGTTGCAGAGTGATAGCTTGAAGTGGCACAGCAATACTCTCCCCTACTGAAAATGACCAATGTTGCTATGGAGGCGGGAAGATGAATTAGTCTGAAAACTTCAATTCTCCTCTCTAATTGAAGTTTTCCTCAGGAAATTCGAATATTTTTTGTAACTTCGTTAATAGTGACCCATATTCCTTTGACTTTCCCATAATGCAGTAGGCTGATCCCATGCAGAAGTTTATGTTCTATCATAGCTCATAATAATGTAGAGGAGGTTTTCTATAGATTTTCGTTTGTAGAACATTACTAAAGTAAAAGCGGAAACGCTGGAAACAAAGCTATTGATAAAATATTAGGCTACGCGAAAAGTCCAAAATTCTTTGAGTTTGTAATGCGAAATGGAGAATAGCTGAACAAGGCGTTACTCCTTGATAATCGGGCTTTGTTAAAGTGTAGCACGCAAAAAACATGGTTTTATGTTCTACTTGACAACTGAGCATGACAAGCTGATGTCAGCAGTGCTGTTATTTTTGTGGATTGCTGTAGGACGCCGGGTAATGAGTTTCCAACTAATCAGCTGAAAGAACGGGCGAATAATAAATCTCAGTGTTGCTCAAAGTCCATCCGTCAGCGCTTCAAGGCAAAAAAACTTGGTGTGAACATCCTGTCGAATACGCCAAAATTAACCCATTTCGTGAACAATGTCGAGTCGTCGCGACGAGCGGGCCTGACGGGCTCTACCGGCCGACAATCCGGCTTGGTTCTTGTTTAATAGCTGTGGCTGCAGCGGTTGTGTAAATTGTCAATGGAGGGAGAGGTGTTTTACTTCCGAACTATGAAGTAAGAATTCGTAATAAAATTCAGTTCTCGTTACATCTTACGCTCAGCCCTGCACGCAGAGAAATCCATTCCTTTTATCTGCGCGATTTTACTGTAATAGAAAAAGTGGCTTCTGATTGCGCTGCTGCGCGGTACTCTAGCGCAGTTCAACCACTGACTGCTTATTGGGTCAGGGAGACATGCGTTTACCCAAAGTCCAGCCGCATTTCTTTGCACAGTTCAGTGTTTAGAGCATAGGAACTCGATGACCACGAGCGCATGATGGCAGCCGTGGCAGACTCTGAACATGAGACGCATACGCACCGACTTATAGTCGCATGATATTGTGGGGAGGAGTGTCAGAGACACTACCTACGATGTCATGTTCAAGGCGGAACTGAGGGAATGGGCAGGGCTGGCAGCTCTCAAAGACTGATACGCTTTTCCGTCAGTGACGGCTCATTTTCGTTTCTCCAGTGTCTTTTCATTGGTGTGGCACATTCCTCGAGATTGTCGTGTGATGCCCATACCACTGGCAATAGGAACTGGGATTAATTACCCGTGCTCCAAAATTTTAGGTTGTCGGAAAAGTCGGCGCATTTACTCATTCTTCTTGCAAAATCTTTTGGATTGTTCTGAAACATTCACTGTAAAACATATGTAGCGGTGGTTAATGCTCTCTTCACAGCATTTCTGTCGTAGCATTTGGCAGCGATTTGAAGCTAAAAAACCCCTCTTTCACCGAAGCACGTTCGACTGCTCCTGCTTTCATAGACCCAGAAAGCGCGTCGATGGAAACCCTACGTGTTGCAATGGACGTCCAGACTGCCTTTCACGACATGGCAGGTATTTGTGCGCCGTGTCCAGATACTTGAGGAAATGCCACAAATCTGGTCGACTTGTTGATGTGAATGACGTGTGTTTTCTGAAGCTGTTCAGAAAGAATCCCCAGTGCCATGCGCGGGAACTAGCAGATTTTTTTCCAATGTTATAAGAGTACTAGTGGCGTTCCTCAAAATCAGGTCAAGAGAAGTAAATTGTACGAAATTCCGTAACCTGACTTATCACCAGTTTGAAGGCGAAGAGATTCTGCGTGATCACTTTGATTTTTCGCCTCTATCTCTCTCTCTTTTAGCCCGAGAACTTTGTTACTGGTACAGGAAGTGAGATTTTTATGTAAACTACACCCGGAAATACCGCTGGCTCGGATGCGTAGAGCAAAGGATTCCAAGCTGATCGTAGCACTGTAATGGAGGCAGCTTCAGGGTTGGTGAAGCTGCAACCGTTGTGTTCACAAAGAACTGTCTAAACGAACTGCACTGCAATTGGTGAACAGTGATGTTGCTAAGTGGATAAACTGGCCGGCACCGTACTCGAAAAATATGGCAGAGTTTACTCAATCTCGTCCACGAATAACAAAGAAGGTTCAGCAAGTCTGCAAACTTCTTATAGGACAATCTGACCCGCCTGGTGTGTTTAGTTGATCTTACGAAAACAGGCGCTGTCGCATCAACCAAAAGGAGAGTCCAATGATCCGGACCAATTTGGAGCGACCTTCTTTTCCCTTAAAGGTCATGATTTCTAAAACAGACTGCACCCAGAAGTCACACTGAAAGGCAATATGTTGCCGATAATGATGAAGCATATACGTGCAAAGTTGACTATGTCCATGAAGGAAAAAATTTGAAAAAAGTGGAAAATGCGTAACTTTTCGGCCCTAGTAGTTTCTATGAAAAACTGGTGAGTAAAAACGCCACTTGAGTCCGTATAGACTAATTTGCACTGCGAAGTACAGTGTAGCTTTTGTTGGCTTCATCATAGAAATGTTTGAAATTTCTTTATTACAGGGCTCCACAAATATTCAGCAAGCTGTGTATTATAATCAGAAAGCGCGTCAGAAGAAGATGCTTCTATTTGCGTTCGTGGTAATTCTTTTCCTTATCATTGGACTCACTATCTATCTCGCACGCTAAGGACCTCTGGTAACGTCACTTGCTTTTTGTGTTCTTTTTCTTTTCTAGCGCTTTTTTGTATGTATTTGTGTCTTGTATTCTATGCTTATGATGGTTGTGATAACGTCAGTTTTGAGATGACTGTAAGTTCATTTCTTCATTAAATCGTAGCAGTAAAGCCTCACTTTTATGAGCTTACAGTTTAAGAGCCATAGAAGCCGTTTAATGTCGATGCTTTCGTTGGGAAATGTTTAATCGTCAGTTTTTGTTTCAAAAATTCAAAGCATTGGATATGGTGTTGTTTGTATTTACAATTTCGATACAAAAAATCTGGGTAGCGTGCACGGAGGATTACTTTTAGTATGCCTATATCGTTGACCTTTTCAATTTATTATTCTTACTTATTATTCAGTTATTCAGTCCGAACTCGGTGCATATGTTTTATATGACTTTTAGAACTTTTAAGGATTTCTTTGTGGCTTTTAGTTCGAGTTTTTTAACTGTACTATTTTAAGAATTCGTCATGACTAAATCGATTTGACTGACCACGTTTAATGAATTTGTTCGATTGTCTGTTCGAGTTTTGAGAAAAAAAAAACTTTACTAATTTGATCTACATGTGTAATAAACAATGTGAAATTTCAAAATTCATTGCAAATGTGTGTGATTGAAAAAGTTCTGCAAAAGCTTGATACTTTTGGCGAGCTTTTGCAAAATCTTTGCAATCACACGCTTTTGCAATTTCTTTGTAAAAAGTTTTCAGAGCCTTTTGCAATTAATTTTTGAAGTCTCACATTGTTTATCACACATTTAGATCACATGAGACTTCGGGGCAAGTTAAATAATTCGATCGTGTGATTATAAGGTTTTAGCCAGGTTTCTTTGAGAAGAGGAGCATCAGAACTTTGAACCGGATGTGTACCTATAAGAAGTCGCTACGTGCAAGTGTGGCAGCAGATTCGGTTTTTTTAGTAACTCTTCTCTTCAGCGTTACCTGCAACACAAGCCCTATTCCCATTCCGAAGAATACCCGCCGATTTTGTCCTCATTCCTCCACTTAAACTTACATTTTTGCGAGCTGGAACGTGACGGGAGCATCACACCGTTAAGCTGCGGCGCTATCGTCTTCTGCAAAGCCTCTGAAGGTACAGGATCCCTAGCCAGGGTCAACCGTGCTTTGCGCAGTTTCCAAATAGGGAGGGTCGCGAGTTTTGAGTGCGGTGCTCTTATTAGACTTGGCGAAGGTTGAAACATTGAAGGGGTTTTTGTTATTGTATTTGAGAAGTTTGGTGTAGTCATGGCTGCGGGAGTGGGTGGTCGTGTTTAACGAGTTTTTTTTAGCGATCTCGCCAGAAACTAGGGAGAAGTACAAAATTGAGGAAATTAGAACATCTGTCGTTCTTTTAGTCATATTTCGCTGCCGCACCACTTTCACTCTTCCATCCTCGCTTGACGACTGTTATGGAGGAGAAAGTGTGTGGGGTTAGAGCTTGGAGGATGTTGACCGGGCTCAGCATCAGATGTTACAGAAACGCCATGATGGCGAGGGTGGTGGTCGGGGAGGGCAGAAAGCTTTTGTTGTGGAAGGGGTCGTCCCATTTATGAAATTGGGACTTTGGGACGGTTGATCCTGCCCTAGCTCTCCCAGCTTACAAGTACCGCAGTGTGATCTCACTTGCTCATGGAGGACATCACAAAATTTCGGAGGAGGCTGCAGTTGATGGAAGTACAGCAGCATATTCCCCAGGTGCCTCCCCCCATAAGCAGAAGCTGTCCTTCACTGCCCTCACCGTCTTCAGAATATGACGTCATCTGTCATCCGTCGTCAGGCTCAAGGAGGTCTACCGTAATTGCTTCAGCCTGAAGCTGCTTACATAATTTCTCGAATCGATTCTCGGGTGGATAATTTCGTAGAGACAGTAGGCAAGACCCCTTCTGATCCAGCTTCAGCTAAAGGCAAGATCAAAATGGCGTCGTTCTAAGGCAGGAATATGAAAGTTAGGTGTGAAAGATTCCAGCAGTAAAGAAAAGGGAAGAATCCGTCGAGAACGGTTAAGTTAACACATTCACGACGACGCCCCTTTTCCACTTTTCGGTCGCGTGGGACGGACGCGATTTTGTGGGCGCCGCCGCCTCACCACATAACCGCAGATTTTGTTTTGTAAATGAACAAAAACATGAATGTCACAAAATAATTTCTGCAATGTCCAATGCGTAAAGATTATCTAAACATATAACAGTAGGATTTCGATCAGAACGACAAATAGTGGTTACGAAAAGAGAGCATTTACTC